CTCTCTCTCTCTCTCTCTCTCTCTCTCTCTCTCTCTCTCTCTCTCTCTCTCTCTCTCTCTCTCTCTCTCTCTCATATTTGGAATCCCTTCGCTAATCTCGTCGTCGGGCGACTCTGCACCGCCGCCATCTGAGTCAGGGTCATCCTCCGAAACTTGCACTTTGCAGGGCCTTCCACGACCACGTTCCGACTTTGGTGCAGCTTTGTGCCCCGTCTTCTCCTTGCGGGGCCTCCCGCGGTGGCGACGTGGTGTGGGGACTTCATTCACTGGAGCCTTCCTCTTTCGCCCCGCCCTGCTTTTCCAGATGTTGTCATGTTGGGCATCCTCATTCTGTGCTGGGTACGGGGGTCTGCCGGAGTGGGCCGCTGCTCCTCTCACCGTTGGTCCGAGTTTTTCTGGCTGCTCCACAGCCACAGCCTGCTGGTCCTTCCGCGGCTCTTGCGGTGCAGGCTTCTGCAGTGGCGGTGGGCGGGGTCTTCGTCTGTAAACCGTTGATGGTGCTGGTTGCTGCAGTTCCTCTCCGTCTTGCTGCTGATCTTTTTCGGCATCCTCCATATCACCCCCATCTCGCGGCAAACTTTCTTCTCCTTCTTGCTGCACATTTTTTTCTCCGAGTGCTTCACTATCCACTCCCGCATGCTGCAAACTCCCTTCATGTTCTGCACGCACGGCAGCCTCATCTACCTCCATGTTGTCCACCCTTTCATCCTTTTCATCACTATGCTCCTCCTCATGTTGGCTGACCTGTTTGCTCTGTCTCTCTCTCTCCCTCCGGGTGGGGACAGCAGCACAGTGAGCCTCCTCCTCACACATCCGCCTCTGAACCAAAGCGGCATCCCTATCTACCATAGCCTTGGCCCGAGCAGCTTCCTCCTCGTCGGCATCAGGCGTAGGGTGCGCCAAGAACTCGGTATCGGTGTCCAGTCTGTCGATGGCCTCGGAAGGCAGCACCTCTGCCTCCTCTCGCCTCCTAAGCCTCCGACCGATGTACGTAGTGGCCGACACCGCCGGCTTGACCCCCAACTCGAAATCTGAGTCCCCCCCAATGTCATCCTCACCGTCGCTCTCTTCGGAAGTCGACTCGTTCCAACACTTCCCCTTCCAGATGAGATCCTGAAGATCGCTGCTCCACTTGAGTCGTCATCCAGCAGGCTCTTCGGAATCCGGTCTTTTGGAGTCTTCTTCAGTCTCTTTTGCCTCTTTTCCTCCTCGATATTGTCCGCTGTCTCATCCTCCGTGGCATCCTCGACAGCTCCATCTTCCGCTGTCGGCTCCATCAACGTCTCGAAGAAGGATCCCCACACATCAACGTAGCCATTGTCCTTGCTATTTGGAACATGCAGCAACTGCATGTTCCAGTGAATGTAAGCCAACTTCTCTAAGGACTCTGACGAGAGACTGTTTCTATGCTTCAAATCCATCGATGCCCAGTTCCGCTCCGCGGGTGTCGCCGTGCTCCACATTCCCAACACGTTGATGGTGATCTGCTGCAACTGTGGAACATTCCCACCGTACAAGGTCCACCAGTCCACAGGCGTACGTCGCGTTGCTTGCTTGATGGCAACTGGTGTCACATGTGTTCATCTGTCCTGACTTCCCCTTCCACAGGCTCTCTCAAAAACTCGTACAGATGATCCCGCATGTCCATGTACGGCTTCGAATCCCACTCCGCTCTGATCTGCCTGCAAAAGAAGCGCATTGCGTTTTGCACGAGGGTGCGGTCCGGATCGTTGAGCCAGCCTGGGTCTCTCTTCCGTGGATCCAACAAAAACGCAGCTGCATGAATGGGCTGCCGCATCATCTCCACGCGGTCCTTGACCTTGTCCATCACATCCTCCCTCTCCTTCTTCGTGAGTGTGATGTTTGCTAATTTCCTCGCAATGAGATCGTCGAACTCCACAAGGTTAGTGGGAGAAACTTCTTCCCTGTCCATCCTCTTCAGGAGGCTGTACACCGGCTCCATAATTGCCACAATTTTCCTCACTATGGCCCACCAACTCTCTGACCTCACAGTGTAGTAGACAAGGTGGTCTTTTTTCTGCAGCTTCTCTCCCGACCATCTCAATGCCCGCCACTTCGTTGCACAACCTTCGTCCACCATCTCATTCAACACTGCCTCCCTGTCCGTTAGCCTCTACAGCATCTGGTACACCAACCTAAACCGGACCTTTGTCGGGCGYAGCAATGACAACAAGTCATCGATGGACATAATGAGACCGTGCGTGGCRTGATGGTTCCCGATGAACTTCACGATCGTGTTCGCCGTCTTCACTGTGTCCTTCACCCAAGGCAAACTGTTGAGGTCCTTCAACAACAGACTGCAGCAATGTGCTCCACATGGCACCCACGGTATCCTTGCA